TCCTGTAAGACTTCTTGTCAGCTTTGGGATTCTCTCGAATAGTTTTAGAAGACTGTGGCTCCAGGCTTTTCCCAGAATTCTGAGAGCAGATAGCACCAGAGAATGTTTTGTGCTTTAAGATAATATATCCAAGGATTTTCTGTCTATTATATTCAGTTTTTAAAAACTCATAGAACTTCTTAGTAGTTATATTAAGTAAGCAAGGCACAAGTTTATTATACAAGCCATTCACTTTTAGTTATTCACTGTATATGGCAATGGACAAGTAAAATTTGAAATTGAAAACATACTACCATTTATATTAGCATCCCTCAAGTTAAATATTTATATATAAATCTAATAAAATGTAACAGCTGTGTATGAGAGAAACTACAAAACTTTGATTAAACGTATCAAAGGACTGATAAATGAAGTAGGAAAACTCAATATTGTCAAAATGTGGGTTCTTTTTAACTTCATTTATTTTTCAGTGAAATCCCAGTCAGATTACAGTACATTAATTTGTGGATATTGACAAATTAATTATAAAGTTTGTATGGAGTAAACAAAGACCCAGAATAGCCAAGTCATTTTTGAAGGATAAGAGCAAGATTGGAGGACCGACTCTTATCTGACCTGGAGATTTACTTTAAAATTATTATAACCATGACAGTGCAGTATTAGCCAGAGGATAAATAAATTTATCAGTAGACCATAATAGAGAAAGTAGAAAATTTGCCAGTGGAGCAAAGGCCGTACAGTAGAGAAAAGAGTCTTTTCAATAAGTGATGTTGGAACAACTGGTTTTCCCCATGCAAGAGAAATGAATTGAGATGGAAGCACCTCACAGAATTAACTGAAAGTGAATCACAAACCTCATAGAAAAACACAAAAGTGTAAAATAATCACTAACAACACAGGAAATGTGTGTGGGTAACCTCGGGTATGCAGTGACTTTTTTAGGTGTAATATGAAAGGCATAATCTATGAAAGGAAGAAGCAATAAGCTGAACTTTTAAATTAAAAAACTGCTTAGTGAAAAGCATTGTCTAGAGAATGAGAAGACAAGCCATAGACTTGGAGAAATTATTTAGAAAAGATAAAAGACCTATTCAAAATACATAAAGAAATCTTAAAACTCAGTAAGAAAATGATAGGCTGATTAAAAACTGGACAAATGGGGCCAGGGATTTAGCTCAGTGGTTTCGTCGCCTGCTGAGCAAGCACAAGGACCAGAGTTCGATCCCCAGTACCAAAATAAAATAAAATAAAAACTGGACAAAGATCTGAACAAATACCTTACCAAAGATACATAGAGAAAGCAAATATGCATATGAAAACTAAGATGTTCAAAATCATATGTTATTAGGGAATTACAAAATAAAACAATGATATAATACCACTACATAACGCCTATTAGAATGGCCAAAATTCAAAATACAGACACTCTCAAATGTTGGCAAGAATATAGAGCAGTAAGAAGTCTCTGCTGGTTGGAATACAAAATGCTACAGGCACTTTGTAAGACAACTTCATTGGTTTTTTTTCACTCTTACCATAGAATCCAGCTGAAAATTTGTGTTTGCACAAAAACTCACACACACACAGCTGCTTTATTCTTGCTATAATTTGCATCAACAAACATATTTTTAAATAGGAGAACAGATAAACTTTGGTATATACATACAACAGAATATTATTCAGTATTAAAAAGAAATGAACTATCAAACCATGAAAAACATGGAGGACTCTTAAATGCATATTTCTAAATGACAGCAGTAAGCCTGAAGATGGTATTATTCCTATTATATGACTTTTGGCAAAGGCTAAACTATGGAGACAATACAAAGATTATCGATTGCCAGGATTAGGTAGGAAGAGAGGATTTAAATAGGCAGAACATAGATGATTTGTAGGGCAGTGGAATCTTTCTGTATGCTAGCAGTGGTGGATACGTTTAGTCATACATTGTAAAAATCCATACAATGTGTGATACCAAATGGGAACTCTTATATGAACTATGGGTTTTGGGTGAAAATGATAATGTTTGTGTAGATTTTTTTCTTTCAACTTGTAATATGTGTACCACTCTCATGCATGATGGTTGTAGTGGGAGAGATTGTGTATGCTTGAGGACAGGATATATAGGGGAACACTACTTTCCCTTCAGTTTTGCTGTTAACATAAAACTGCTCTAAAATAGTAAAGCTTATTAATTTAATGAAGGCAGAAGAAGGGGTAATAAAGTTTTAGGAAGTTTTGCTTTTTTATAAAGTTGGATTTTTTTTACATTAATCGGTGAAATGATAAAAACACAGTACATGCAAGAAGCTCACCAAATTATTTTGGTGTGAAATAGACTCTCTTTAACCATTTATTAAAAGAATAGTAAATACTTTTCAGTCCCGTTGTTATTTTTCATTGAGAAGTAATCAAATTCTGATTTTGTATAAGGTTAATATTTGACAATAAAATATCCTTATACTTTTTTCTTCTAATTTATGATATGAATAAATCTTTTAAAACTGAATGAATTTTGTCAAAATTTAAGCCAATTTTATAGGTTCTTTTTGGTAGCTGATGTTGTAAACCAAGCCAGATAAAAATCACTTATTTGAGCATTACTCATCTTGTATACACATGTAAGTTTTGGGTTTTATGTTCTTTTACAACCTTTCATTTTAAGATTAATTTAGTATCTTTTTTCATAAAAAACAAAAATTAGCTCTTTTACCTCCATAATTGTACTTTTTCCTAGCACTGCTGGCATAGAATCAATTACTCATATTATCTCTAATTTGTGGGCTAGTCAATTAGCTTCTAGTTAACCATCCCAAGTAGATGAGAACTTCATAATTACCTGTTTTACACAAGCTGTTTAGCTGACTAGCAAATATTTTTTGTAGCCATGCACATTATTTTTGTTTTCTTAAAGTGGTGTGGATGAATAATTTTAATAACATGATGCAAATTTTATAACTTTTTAATTTAGAAGGCAGAGCTATTTAGAAGAGCTATGTTTGGTGACCAAGGTTTTAAAGATAAATAAGAATCTTGGAAATCATGTTTAGATGGACTCTGAATGTATGGATATTACTAATTTAGACTAATCATTTATTGTGAGAATTATAGGACGGTCAGGTTAATGAGTTTCTTTATGAAAATATAAACTCATACCTCTTCAGAACTATGGAGAAAGCATAGCTATATATTAAGATCAGAACTATTAGTCTGATTTGTACAAAGGTTCGCTTTTATCATATGAATGTATATATTGTTACATAAAATGTATCTGTGCTGCTTGGAGGTCCTGTAGAATCTATTTCCTTAAATGACATTTAAAGTTTCCATTAGGTATTAAAGTATTAGATTTGTGAATTGCTTATACGACAGCATCCACCAAAAAAAAATGTATACACACTTTAGGAAAAGAAAAACTTGTATAAATATTTTAATACTAAATTTATTGAGACATCATGAGATTAATACAAGTTACCTTTGGCCTCCACAATTACAAAAAGTGTTCAAAGTGGTGGCCATTAGCTTCCCGACATTTATTAGTATGGCAAAGTGCTGCTGGGAAACCTTGGTCATTGAGATTGCTGAACGTGCCTTTTCAATTTCTTCCCTAAGGACTGGCAGTGTAGTGGGTTTTCTGCACTATATGACATTCCCTAGAGTCCCCCCATATGAGGGTAACACCATCTGTCAAAAAAAACAACATACAATTTTTCTTTTCTTGAAGTGTGTATACATTATTTTAGGGGGACTCTTTATATAAACCAATTAGATTATACTTCCTCAATTTCCGAGTTTGTAAAGATTTGTTAATTTCCAATATGATTGAAGTTACCTATATCATTTGATTCAGGAATTTTCATTTCTAGGTATCTCTCGAGATACTCATGTATGTATAAGAATGCATGTATAAAATTGGTTATTATAGCTGTATTTATAATTTAAAATTGAAAACAACACTGTGGTCCATCTGTAAAGTATTGGAGAAATATATTTTGATGTAGTTGTGAAACATGATACTATGTGGTTGTTAAAATGAATTAGCTAGAATTTCAATTATAGTAGCCATAGTTAAATTTTAAATGTAATACCGGGTGAAGGAAACTAAGTTGTAATATGAGAGGTATACTTCTTAATTTTGAAAACACATAATGCACTCATATTATGCTTATTGTTCTTCATTTATTGTTTTTCTTTCAAAAATCAGCAGAAAAGCTAAACACAAAATCAGTATGGTGGTTATCTCTGTGGAAACAGTCAAAGGAATAAAATTAGTGACAAATAAAAGGGCTGTAAATTTTATATAATGTATTTTCAGTAAATATACTATGATTCAAATGAGATCTGATAAAGTTAGTTATTGGGTACATGAGCATTTACTATCTAATTGCCTTCTACACCTTTCCATGTTTAAAACAGTTCATTATGAGGAATAAAAATGACGCATGTAGAAGATATATTATAAATTTAATGTATTATACACTAAAAACATTAATACGATATATGTATCAAAAACACAAGTAAATAAACACACATCTGTATTTATATATAAACACACAGCCACACACAAGTACTACATATCAGAAGTATACAACTATAGTAGGCAGAATTCCCTTCACATTTTACGGATATTATTCCTTGGGGAGGAGCGGTAAGATGAGGAACTAGATATTAGGCTAAAAGGATATTTCAGTGGATCTGTTATATTTTAATGAATTAAGGGTAAAAATTATGTTAATATGTCATACATTTGCATTTATCAGCTTTTTCATAGGAATATGGATGTGTGGTACAATGAATCTACTTGGCATTATTTATTTCCATCTTTTAAAACAGTTTTAAAAACCATTAACCATTTGACTGACATCTGGAGCTTATTATATATAAAAGATTAACTTTGAATCAATAAGAATATCTTAACAATTAAATTTTTATCAACTCATTTATTAGAGATGTCAGTGCATTATCAGATAAATTAACTATGGATCATTTTTTTTCTAAAGAATACAGGTCAATGACCAGATCGTGGAGGTGGATGGAATCAGCCTGGTAGGCGTCACACAGAATTTTGCTGCGACAGTTCTGAGAAACACCAAGGGCACCGTCAGGTAAATATGTAGCTTCGAAGATATACAATTTGATCACTGTATGCTTTGTTGAATTATGGCTTTCTCTACTTTTACCTAGAAATACAAGTATTTACAATGTAAATTTTATTTGAATACTAAGAACAGTGTGAATCAATATGGTTAGTTATTGAGCTATGTTAATGTGCCTTGTTTCTAATACAGTAAGAATTACTAGGCAGACAGCATTTCTGGTTTTTGCTTTAATAAATATTAATTTAGACTCAACCCTTTTAACAAAACCAATTATACGATTACAAAACCAATTAAACATATATTTAATGAGATACATTGCAATTGTATCTCGGTTCACAAACTTAATTCTTTCAACGATTCTGGTCACAAACTGAATTGGATGAGAACTGAATCAAATTTCCCAATAAGATCAACATTGAACCTAACCATTGGATTTGATTTGGTTCTCATCCAGTTCGGTTTGCGACCAAAATTGTGGAAAGAATTAAGTTCATGAACCAAGGCACCACCTTATTTAGACAAATAAATTGGCTAATATCAATCTTTGATGAACTGTAACTTTCCTACTTAATTGAACAGAAAATGAATAAGGAAGCAGTCCTAAACCAACCAAGGTGAAGGTTTGAAATCAGTTAATTTGATACTTTTTAAAAGTAGCATTTTTTTCTTTCCCTTTTTTCCTTTCTGCCACGCCCCCCCCCCATACTTCCCCTTCCCCTTCCCCTTTGAAACTTTGCTTCCTGTTTCACATTGTCTGTTACAGATTTTGGTCCTCATTTACACTTCAGTTTCTCACACCAAAGAAACTATTCAGTATGTACACATGCTTGTCCTATTTATTTCACTTAAGAATATGGCCTCAATATTCATCTATTTAGCTATAAATGTCTCTAGCTTATCATTCTTTATGACTGAGTAGTACTCCATTTTATTAAAAAAACCACATCTTCTTTGTCTAGTTACCAGTTAACAGGCATTTGGATTGTTTCCAGGATTTAGCTATTACAGGCTATGCTGCTATAAACATGGGTGTAGAAGGAAGAAGTGGAAATAAAACTTTTGTAAATAGGGAGAGGTGGAAGGGAGGGAAGGGGAATGGGAAAAAGCAAGAACTAAGATATGTCATGTATAGGTACAAATTCCCAATGATGAATGTGATCATAATGTATACCTAAAATGTACCAATAATGTTAATTAAAAAAAAGAAAAAAATAGCATTATTTATGTCTTAATCCTTTTCCAGAACCCTATGATGGAACACATTAAGGATGCATTTAGTATGTGTAATTATGAAAGTGGTTTAGTGTTTCATCATAGATTGAATCTACCAAACATTCTGAAAATATGCATGAGTTAACATAAAGAGGGCAGCATTAGAGTTACAGTACAACGTATTTGAGGATGCGCAAGCTTGAGTTCAATTGTTAGACTTTTCCAGTGAGAAAGCACTCTTTGATGCTGAAGGCTGATTTAAGGAATCAACCTAAATGACTTATACAGGCAGTGTGTTGATGCTTCTAGGATACTTCTGTTGAACATCCACAATCCTGAGAAAAGAAAGAGTACGGGGAAAACCATTGCTGCTTTCTCAGAGCTGCGTAGGAAGACTCCTAAGTAAATATGATCATCTTTTTCCAGATCACCTTATGTTCTTGAGATGGCACTTTCCTATTTCAGTATTACGCTTGTTTTGGAGCTGCCATTAAACTTTAAGATACATTAAAACATTAAATAAGTAAGATACACTTTCAATTTGTAAGAACATTTCTCAGTTAGAAAAGTTTATAGTGGCATGAAATCATAGCCATTCCTTTCACATCTGACTGTTGACCACATAATTTTGTGTTGTTATCAAAGCTTGTACAGATTCAAAATTGCTTCTTGGGCTGGGGATTTAGCTCAGTGGTTTTGCTGCCTGCTGCACAAGCGCAAAGACCCGAGTTCAATCCCTGGTACAAAAAAAAAAAAAAGAAAAGAAAAAGAAAATTGCTTCTTAACTGGTCTCTTTGTTTTCTCTTTTTCCTTTTTTTCAGACTGTCTTAATTTTTCTCCTAATGGAAGAACATAATTACAGTTTTCAAACATATGACTGGCTATCATGGAAACAGGGTTGACTTTCTCTTTACTCCTAGTAGTAGAAAAATGATTACACAAGTAGTCAAAATAATAATTCTGCATCCATCACGTTCATCTCTTCTCCGACTGTCAGTGGGCCTCCATTCTGTGTGAGATACACACTTCTTTGTCTGTGTTAAACATCTTTCATTGCATGATGATTTTACCATTTGCCTTTACATCATTTGACGTTTTGGTGTAGCCATGTGGTAGTCACCATGCTTCAGACATGACTTGGGAATTAGATGTTTTGTGCCTTTCTTTCTGCCATTTTCTTCTGTTTAAAATGCTGTCTTCTATTTAGAACATCCTTGTCCTACAGAACCTATTGCAGGTCTTTTTTCAGGTGTCCTGATCCTCTGGAGACCCCTTCTTTTTGATAAAGCTCCTCATTCGTACTACTTTTCTGACCTTGAGATTACAGAGTGCTCTACTTTTGTCTTTAAAAGGCATATATTTTATTTCTCATTGTCTTTGCACAAATCTTAGTGTAAACATGGGAATTTTAGCTTCCTTTATTCTTCCCAAATTATTTAACCCAAGATCTTACTGAAGTTAATCTAGCATCTGAATTAACAGACTGTGAAGAAAATGTGTTTCTTCAATTTTAGCTTTAAAAAAATTTGATCTTCTGAGTGTATTATTAGAGAGTAGCTCTTCATAAGATCCTAATACAGGGCCGGGGATTTAGCTCAGTGGTTCTGCCACCTGCCTCTCAAGCACAAGGACCTGAGTTCGATCCCTGGTACCAAAAAAAAAAAAAATCCTAATACAAAAACAAGATTCAAAAACCACACTTATTTATTTATTTTTGAGGTACTGGGAACTGAACCCAGGGCCTTGCACGTGCTAGGTAAGTGTATATCTGTAACTTTAGACCTGTATTTTTAATGAAATGTACTTTCAAGATTTAAAATATATGTGATTCTATATTTCTTATTCATTATTAGTAGTTATTGAAGTGTATTTTCAAATGGGGACATTATCTGAAAAGTTACTGGGTTTAGTTTGAATTTTTCTAACTACAAAGCACAGACCTGAAAGGAATATGTAGACCTTATGGCTTTAAAGAGCCAGGAGGAAGATCTGAAGCTAAAGGTGGGCAGAAAATTAAACAGATTTGGATTGTGATTATTTTTAAATATTGGAGATTAAGTATTTATTTCCTAGAAATGTATATGAAATATGTGCCAGCATTTGTATATAAATCAAAGCCATGCAATAAATTCCTGTGACTTTGTTCACTCACAAGTGTAGGGAATCATTTTTATCTTACTTGTTCATGTGCTTTATTTTATTAAGCTTTGAATGCTTATGTCTGAATCTGTGAATTAATAATATTGATGAAGCCCCATTAGTATGCCATCCTTTAATTTACCAGAGAAATAATACAAGTATTTTAATGTTAATTCTGAGGGTATAATTATTTCTTAACCCTATATTATTTGTATGAGATGCAGCATATTAAAAGAAGAGGTTCAGCTCAAACTAGGTTAGGTTCCTGGAAGATATTGGAAGCCCAGACCTGGTTTAAAGCATTAGTAAACTGCTTTTATTTTCCATATTTTACAGACATGGTTTATAACTATTAACAGAAATGTGTTATTTATGTTAAGTACTTTGTTAAGGAAAGAACTCCGAAGACCCAAGCAGTTTATGCTCAGTATGACATAATGCAATAACAGAAGGAAAAAGACATATACATTGAAGGATAGATGTGGCCAGCTCAGCCATAGTATTCTTTTCACTCCTGGGTCTCACAGAGCTCATGGTTCTCTAATTTTTAAACTATGATGGGCTTGCACATGAAGCACCTTGGTACCAAGAAGTCCAAAATCTGTTTGTAGTGGGAATCCCTCAACATGAGCTGATCATGTAGGTACATTTCTACTGCATGGACACTAACTACATGAGCAGCCTCAACCACTAAAAAACCCCATGGTTCATTTCTTACTTAGGGTTCTCTTGAGAAACAGAGCCAAGAGGAGGGAGGGAAGATAGGTACGTAGATAGACAGGCAGACAGACAGACAGACTGACGTGACTCTTGCATTTATAGAGACCAAGAAGACAGATGACTAATATAAGGGACAAGTGCTACAAGAATGCACAGATTTACAGAAGAAACTGAGGCCTGAGGCACAAGGAGATTTAAGCACTTGTGTAAGTTCATACAGCTGATAAATGATTGAGCAAGAAACTGAATACATGAGGTCTAGTTTCATTTGAAGAAAAGGCAGTTGTCAGAGAAATCTGTCCTTGGTAACTGGTCTCAAGATCAGAGAATGACATCAATAAGTATATTAAGTATTATTTATGGTTTCTAACAGAATCATCTCTAGGATTTTACCTATATACTAGCAATCGTGTAATGCAGAACACATTTCCTTCATCCACAGAGAGTAACACAAGAGGTTGAATCGATTGTCTAAATTTGGGACTGGCTGGCAAAATGCTAACACAAGGCTAAATTCTAGATACAAAAGTAAATGGAAAATAGTTTTCTGTAACTGTGAAATAATCTGTTAGATTAGTGATTTCTACTTTCTTTCAGTAGGTGTACAAGTGATGTTTATCTCTTTCAAACTACTTCTGATTATTTTCTTAATGAATTTATAATTTCTAGTTTAAAATTAATTTCTCCAGGGCCGGAATTTAGCTCAGTGATAACACTGACTGCCTCACAAGCGCAAGGTCCCGAGTTCGATCCCTGGTACAAAAAAAAAAGAAAAAATTAATTTCCCCGTGCATAAACATGGCTCAACAAACATAATTTGGGTTTTAAAGGTCTCCAAGAAAACCATCATTTAGTATATTCTAATAGAAAAGTGAACCTTGAGTTGCTAGATAAAACTGTTGATTCTAATTAACTGAGTCTAATCTATTTAAATT